GAGACCCAGGTCCTGTCATTGGCTGGCTGGGTGACCTTGAATCTGGCTGTGGGCCTAGGAGTCCCCCTCTGGAAAGTCAGGAGGCTAGGACTTGGTGGCAGGCTTTGCAAGTCTCAGATTTCAAGTCTTCTCCATCCTCCAGAGAAGTCGGGTTGTACATGAATTGGATGAGGTGCCATGTGGGTGACACTGAGGGCCCAGCTGGTTCTGTTTGAGGGCTGGAGCCAGGGAGCACTGAGATAATACAGAGCAGAGCATGGCCCATGGGAGCCCTTGGCCTTGGCAGTCTCTGTGCCTCAGCGGGAGGGCCTCTCTGGAGGCCAGAGCATCTGACGGTGAACAGAGTGCAGATGCCCACAGGTTTGCTTCCTGCTGCTGTGCCGGCTCCTGGAACCTTGGTTGACCTCAGGCTTCCCAGTGGCCAGTCACCTCCCAAATATCAGCTCCTCACCCCATCAGGTGTGGCTGTGGCTCTGGAGGGGAGGCAGCGTAGGATGGTGGTTAATGGTATGGGCCTCAGAGTCAGACCTGGCTTGGGTCCCACTTTAGCACTCCTGAGCCACATGACCTCAGACAGGTGGCTTAAGTTCTCTAAGCCTTAGTTTCCTCATCTGTAAAATGAAGAGCATAACTTTATAAGGTCACAGTGAGGATTTGATGAGAAAATGCATGTGAAGTGCTTAGCATGGTACCTGGCACAAAGTAGCCATCTATACTTCAGATATTATTAATAGTAATTTAAGCTGAGCACGGTGGCACATCCCTGTGATCCCAGCTACTCCAGAGGCTGAGGCAGGAGCATCTCTTGAGCCCAGGAGTTCAAGACCAGCCTGGGCAACATAGCGAGACCCTGTCTCTTAAAATAATAGTAATAATTTATTATCTGGGGCAGTATCTGGTATCTAGTAAGCCTTTAAAAGATAGTAGCTATTTTTCTGTTCCCTGGCACCAGGGGAAAAACCATTCAGTCATTCAACAGTTACTGGACACCTCCTTGGTACCAGGTGCAGTGCAGTGTTCTGGGAACATAAGGGTGAACCAGAGAGCATAGTCCGTACCCACAAGGGGGCTCATGTTCTAGCAGGGGAGAAAAGCCAACATATAAACCAATGAGTAACTGCAATTTATAGTAAATGCTATGCAGGAAATAAAGGGTACTGGGGAGGGCTGCTTTGTACGGAGTTGCCATGGAAGGTCCTTCTGAGGAGGGAAGAGGATTCCAGAGAAAAGGAACAGCAAGTGCAAAGGCCCTGACGTAGGGAAGAGCCAGGCTTGTTCTAGGAACTGTCATGAGGCCATTGTGGTGGGAGTAGAGGGAGCGAGGGGAGAGTTTCATGGAATGAGACTGGAGAAGTCTTCAGTAGGGTCCAGATCATGCATGGCCTAGATGGCCATGGTAGGGAGTCTGGATTTTATTTGGTGTGTAATGGGAAGCCATCGGGAAGGTTTTAAGCAGGGAAATGACGTGATCTGATTCACATTTACAAAAGATGGCTCTGGCTTCTGGGTGGACAGTGGCATGACTACAGAGAAGATTGGCCACAGAGAGCCATGATAGGTTCACTCCATCATGAAGCCATGCTCCCCCCAGTGTCCAGGACTTCTAGAATGTTCTAGCCCTAAGACGGAGGAGGGGCTTGAAGAGGGATGTGGAAACCTGTGGTAGGAGGCCTGCCTGGTGAAAGAAGAGGCAGAAGCCTTCAGCAGGCCCAGGCTGTCCTCTGAGCCAACTAGGGTTGGGGCCTAACTGAACTGCCCTGGGAACCAGGTGCAGTGGCTCATGCCTGTAATAGCAGCACTTTGGAGGCTAAGGCAGGAGGATCACTTGAGGCCAGTTGTTCAAGACCAGCCTGGGCAACACAGCAAAACCCCATCTCTACAAAAAATTAAAAAATGAGCCAGGTGTGACCCTGTCTCAAAAAAAAGAACTGCCTTGGAGATACCCTGCCTTTCGTACCTCAGGGCCTTTGCACTTGCTGTTTCTTTTCTCTGGAATCTTCTTCCCTCCTGAAAAGGACCTTCCTTGACAACTCCGTACAAAGCAGGCTTCCCCAATACCCTTTATTTCCTGCACAGCATTTACTATAAAATTTAGTTACTTGTCAGTTTATGTGTTGGCTGTTTCTCCCCTTCTAGAACAATGGCAGTGGCTGGACCATGCTGTTTCCCCCAACCCTCTACTCATTCTTCATGCTTGAACTTAGGCGTTTGTTTGTCCTTTAGGGAGCCTTTCCTGACTGTTACACTGCTTTCCCCTCCCCCGTTAGAGCAGGCATCACCCTGTGTGGCAGTTCCCTGTTTGCACGTCTGTTTTCACCACTAGACCATAAGTCAGGTGGGGGAGGGACTCTTGTCTAAACACTGCTGTGTTATTCCTGCTACTTATTGAAGGTGTTGCCTGGCCCAAAGAAGACCTCAGAAAACATTTGTGGAGTGAGTGACTACATGAATGAATGAATGAACATTGCTAGATGGTTCTCTCAAATGAGTCCACTCAACTGCTACAATGTGTCTGCCTGAAGCTCTGTGTTTAGAAGGATTCTCAGGCTGCAGCTGAGTACAGGAGTTAAGTGCTGGGATCTATTGAGCGCCTCTGCTGCGGGAGTGGGGTGTAAGGATCAATTAGTGATGTCTGTTCAGGCACTTGTGGTGGAAGTGGCTGCACTCACCAAGGAGCTGCACCTCTGCTTTGGGGAGAGGCTCTGTTCAGGAATGTGGTGGTATTTGCTGGAGTGACACCTGCCCGGTGCTGGAGCCCTGTTCCCCAGGGAGCCCTTGGGATGTCTGCTGACCTCTCTCTCTCCGTCTCTTGTTCTAGCTGTCCCTACCTGGCCCGCAAACTGACCCTTGCCATCCCCATCATCGCTGCCATCCTCTTCTTCTTCGTCATGAGCTGCCTGCTGCAGACGAGTTTCACCGACCCCGGCATCCTGCCCCGGGCCACTGTCTGTGAAGCAGCTGCCCTGGAGAAACAGATCGGTGAGGCTCCTCCTCCCAGCCAAAGCTGGGTCTCCATTGCTCTGCATTCCCTGACTCAGGAGGACGCCCGATTTTCTCCTCCGACACTATGCTGGAAACTGGGGGTACAGCCGTGAGCAAGACAGGCTGGAGCTAATGCTGGAGTAGAGGGAGACAGGTGATAATCAAGTGAGCAAATAAGCAAGAAGCGCTGGCAAGCCAGGGCCCTGGTGGCAGCCAGCATGGACCCGAGTGGTCCCTGGGGGCCAGGCATTATTTTAAGCTCTTTATATGCATGATCTTATTGAACTCTCCAATAATCCTATGAGGATGGTACTGTTGTTATTCTCCTTTTACTGATTAATTAAATCGAGGCACAGAGAGGTTAAGTAAATGTTCCAAGATCACACAGTAAGTGGAAGAGTTGGGGTGAGACCCCAGGCAGACTGGCCGGAGCCCCTGCTCTTAAATATTCATATATGCTTATTCATTCACTCATCAAACATTTATTGAGCCCCTACTATGTGCCAGGCACCCTTCTAGGTGCTGGCGATATAGCAGTGAACAGAACTGACAATAATCCCTGTCCTCATGGAGCTGACATTCTAGCAGGAGGAAAAAGGCTAAATAAACAAATAATTAAATATCTAGAATGTCAGAGAAGAAGGCAGGGAGGGAGGGTGAGCACTGGGAGGAGGGTGTGTGATTTTAAATAGGGTGGTCAGGGAAGGTCTTGTGAAGGAGGTGACATGTGAGCAAAGAAGCACAGGCCTGAGGAGAGGAGGGCTTGGGCTGTGGGATATCTGGGGAAGAGCACAGTAGGTGTGGGGCAGTGGGCTCATTTAGGTTAGGTGGTCAGGGGAGTCTTGGGGAGGAGGTAGCACTGGGGATGAGCCCTGAATGGTGTGGTAGGAATACAAGGATGTGGAAACAGTAAAAGCAAAAGCCCAGCGTGGCAAACCAGACGGGCATGTTTGAGGAACAGCAGGAAGGCCAGTGTGACCAGAGAGAACCTGTGCCCCCAGGCACCCCAGTGGCCCTCAGCTCTTCCCTCTGGGTGGCTGGCACCGGGGCCAGGGCCTTGATGCCAGCTTGCTTCACCCCAGCTCCTTCCTGCTGAGAAATGACGTGGCTCTTTGCACACCTCGACCTCGGAGGTTTCCGGTACGTGGTTGGCTTCTTCCCCTAACAGGGTGGTGTTCACTCAGGCTTTTAAACACCCAGCTGGCCCTGAAGAGATCTAGCAGCCTGTAAATGTCAGAGCCCTGCTGCCTCCATTGCTGGAAATCACTTCACTAATTCTCTGGAGCAGCTTGGGAGGGAAGGAGGGAGAACAGCGGGGAGAGGATGTTCTCTCGAGCTCTGTCTGCTCTTTGTCTCATTCCTCCGCCCAGGCCCGTCCCCAGCCACGCCCGAGGTCACCTTCCTCTTGCCCACATCCAACTTCCTTCCCCTCATACCCAGGCCACTGGCCACTCCTTCAGAATCCCACGGTCGGACCTGGGCTGGCCCACCTGGCAGCTGGTCAGGCTCGGCTGCGCCCCATTCCTCCTCCCCGTCGGGCTGGGGCTAATCGCGAGGCAGGATTATTGTCCAGCTCAGCTGGACTCAGGTCTGGCTGCCTGGAGTCCTCGGCCTCCTGTGAGCTGCGTGGGTAATGACAACAGTAATCCCCATGTTTGCTGAGTGCTGTCCGTCCATCCTCCCCACACATCTTTACAGTCACCCGGTGAGGATGACCCTGTTAACCAGTTGTGCTGATGCAGAAACTGAGGCAGGTGGCCCATGTCCAGAGAGTGAAGGAGCAGAGATGCCTTTGACTCCCAAACCCCTTGCTTTGTCTTCTGAGGTGGCAGCAGGGACACGTCCCCTTTATCCTTATGCCTCCACTCCAGTGTCCTGTGCTCTGGGCAGCCTTCCTGACTCCAGTCGGGTCAGGCCCTCCAGGCCACACTCCCAGAGGACCTTCTTCTTCCTTCTCTGTCCCTGTGCTGCACGGTGGTAATTATGAGATTGCCCTTTCCACTGGGCTGTGACAGCACAGGACACAAGTGTCTTGTTCACCCTGTTGCCATGTTGGCCAAACAAATGAATGAATGAAGACTGGATGAACTTCTGTGAAGGCCATTCTTGCTTTCCTGAGGTGACAGGCCAGGAGACAGCTGGAATTCCTCCCACTTAGGCAGTACAGGCGTGTTTGTTTGTGTGTTCACTCTGTGTGCTGACTGCTGACTGCAGAGGGAAGAGGAGACAGGCCAAAAATGGATCTGACGTGAGCCCTGCCCTCTGGTGGATTCCAGCCTAGTCACTCCCAGGTGGAAGTCCTGGCCAGCCCCGCAGGTGGGGTCGGGCTTTAGAAGAGGGTTGGTGGGATCAGGAGGACTTGGAGACGCTTCCTGGAGATGTGACACTTGAGCCAGTCCTTGAATTTTGGGTGGATAATTCCAGCCCAGGAAGATGTGTGGAGGGGGCCCTTCAGGCAGCCGAAGCAGAGGGAAGAGAGGACAGCAGTGGCAGGTATGGAAACTCTAGTGGTTAGGGTGGGGATGGAACCAGTCTTGTAGGACCTTGAATGTCAAGGCCTATGACTTTTCTTTGAGAACAGTTGCCAAGCCTAAAAGTGAGATTTCTGGGGCCTTTGAATTCTCAAACTTGAATAGAAGCCAAATTTGGTGGTGTGGCCAGAAACTTCTAACCAAGGTGAAACATACTTCCCTGAAAAGGACTAAGGTCACTGAGCCTTTTCGAGAAGGTTGGGGGCTGTCTCTGAGGTGGATGGTGCTATTCATAGAAACATGAACTGATTTTCTAGTCCCAGGCCCTTGCAGACAGTGCGGGCTTCTCACTACAGCCCCATGGACCGGCATCTCCAGCCCAACAGCTTGTGGCCCGGGGCTTCTGCCCTGCAAGGACGGTCTGAGGTAGGGTGACCAGCTCCTCTGTTTGTCCAGGAACAAACAGAGTCTCCGTTTTAGCATGGAAAGTCTCCTGTCTTAGGAAACCCCTCCGCCCCTGGCAAACCGGGGAGGTTGGTCGCTCTAGGCGGAGATTCTGACTGGCCAGCTGGATCGTGCGGGCTCTAGGCAGTTGAAGAAGAGATAGGAATGTTGTTCCCAGGAAGCTCCTGGTCTGAGGGCAATGATAGAGACATCTGAATCTGAGTGACAGCTGCTCACCTAGACCCAGTTACAGTTCACAGGCAGATGCAGAGGCTGCCTCTCCCTCTTCTCCCATATAGCCGCTCACAAATCTCATCCTGTCTGTCCCCAGGATGTCCCCCGGGTCCTTGTCCCAAAGCCCACTTCCCCCAGACACACCTGACACATTTTCCACCTGAGTTGGCTCAGGGCTCTGCTGAACCGTCCCCCATGCCCGGCCTTTCCCTTCAGTTGTAGTTGTCTCTCAAGACCCAAGTTCGTCCCCGGCCCTCCCTGGCTCAGAATTTGGGTGACTCTTTAGTGCCTTCAGCATCGTTTCCTGAATATCAGTCATTTGAGTTCAGTCTTTGTGATTTTTGCCCTTTCTGCATCCCGCTTTGTACCTTTGTTTCTTATTTAGTATTTTCCTTTAAATGGCATGCTTTTTTTTTTTTTTTTTTTTGGAGACAGAGTCCCTGGCTCAGAATTTGGGTGACTCTTTAGTGCCCAGGCTAGAGTGCTGTGGTGTCACCCTAGCTCACAGTAACCTCAAACTCCTGGGCTCAAGGGATCCTCCTGCCTCAGCCTCCCAAGTAGCCATGCCTGGCTAATTTTTTTTTTAGATATATATATATATGTTTTTTTTTAGTTGTCTAGCTAATTTCTTTCTATTTTTTTAGTAGAGACAGGGTCTTGCTGTTGCTCAGACTGGTCTCGAACTCCTGACCTCAAGCAGTCCTCCCACCTCGGCCTCCCAGAGTGCTGGGATTATAGGCGTGAGCCACCACACCTGGCCCATGCTTTTAAATATTTTATTTATTTATTTACTTCTTGAGACAGAATCTTGTTATATCACCCAAGATGGCCATGAGCTCCTGGGCTTCCTTCCACCTCAGCAGCCTGAGCAGCTGGGACTACAGGCACATGCCACTGCACCCGGCTAATTTTTTAAAAATTATTTTTAGAGGCAGAGTCTCGCTATGATTGCCCAGGCTAGTCTTGAACTCCTGGTTTCAAGTAGTTGGGATTACAGGTGCCAGCCACTGTGCTCTGCTTAAATATATTTTAAAAGGAAAATTTATATCCCCTTGTAAGTGGAAAGCAAGATTCACTTCTTGTGAATAGAAATCGTCATAAAAACAAAAACAACAACATTCCAGATTTCTTGGTGGTTCCAGTTGCCTTTGGAAGGAAGTCACTTTAGGCAGGTGAGGCTCACAAATACGAGGTATTAGAAGTTGAGACTTTCCCCTTGATGGAGTCAAAGGCTTGAAAGAGAATTAAAAAGGGAATAACTTTCTCATGGTGTGATTCAGAGTTGCCTAGTGTCATGTCTAGGAAACAAATCCTCTTCTATCTTCCTGAAAACTCGCCCTCGAGATGGAGGCAGGCTGCAGCCCACTCTTCTCCTCAGCTCCCAGCACTCCGCAGACTGCACATAACTGCCGCGGTGCCTTTCCTGTGCTTGCTCTGTCCCCTCTTGCCATGCCGCCTGCCCCAGGGGGCCGGAGCTCTCCTTCTTGCAGACCTGGCTGAGTTGCTATTTCTTTGTTGCTTCCTTGAATGCTGCCTCCTACCCCCACAGGTTCCCCCCTGTGTCCTCAAGACATGGGGTATAGACACCAGCGATGTCATTGACCGGCTACTGGTTAGACCTTGATATTGTATCATCTCTCATTTGTATAGTTTTACAAGGTTGGTATTATCACTACCCATTTCAGAGGCAAGGAAACTGAGGCTCTTAGAGGTTGAGCAGCTTCCTCAAAGTCACAGGCTGACAAGTGGTCATGCCACGTTTGAAAATGAGCTCAGGGTGATCCAGAGTCACAGTGCCTCCTATGAGGATCTACTTCTGTCCGACTCTGCCCTCAGGCTGAGCTCTTC